TGTGTGTGTGTGTGTGTGTGTGTGTGTGTGTGTGTGTGTGTGTGTGTGTGTGTGTGTTCGTTCCCTTAGGGATGTGACAGTTCTGAGCCCCTCTCCACTCAGCTTGTAAGTGCCTAACCCATGCAGGCCTCTGTTAGTGCCGCCCTTTGACCTTGCTGGGCAGAGGAAGTGCTGAGGTGGGTGTGGCCCACTGCCTTGGTTCCCGGGGTACACTGGGAGAAGGCATCCATGTACACTTGAGCTTCCCACGGCAGCACTTCATTTGGGGAACAGGGAAAGGTCTGTTCCTGTGTAGGAACCTGTCCTTTTGGGAATTCCTAATCTTGTGTTCCACATCCTGATGAACTTAAGAACCTCCAATGTAGCAGTCAAATGCTGGCAGGATTTAAGCCAGAATCTGCTGGGGTAGGTACCTGTATGTGGCAGGTTGTAGGCGTGCTGGAAAGAGGAACTCCCACTGTCTTGCTTGTGTTCTGCCCTCTAACCTCCCCCCTCAGTTGCTGTTGTCTATTCCACGTTCCTCTTCAGCCTCTTCTGCCTATACCTTGAACATGCTAAGTGGTGGATTTCAAAAGGGAATCCACTGTCCCGCTCTGGCTCCGAATTAGCTGAGACAGTGGTTCTTCACCTGTGGGTCACTACCCCTTAAAGAAACCTCCATCCAAACATATTTGTTAGGATTCATAATGGCAAAAATACAGCTATGAAGCAGCAATGAAAATATACGGTTGAGGGTCACCCCCATGTGAGGAATTGAATTAAAGGGTCAGATTTGGAAGGCTGAGAGCCCCTGAGCTAGGGGTTGAAATACTAGAGCCAATTCTGTCTACACTGGCACATTCCCCAGGCTAGAGTTCTCCCTCTTGTAGCCAAGCAAAGTGCAGGACCCTGTGCAAGCACTGCCCTGTTAGGCGCTGCTTTCTTCTCTCCTGTAGAGGTTACCAGACCCCAGGGTGCCCATGACACATGGAGACCAGACAGCCCCACAGGCTCCTAAGATGGTACAGGGTCCGTGTGCCCAGCCACTGGGCTGCTCCTGGGTCAGTCACATGCTCACTGCCATGTCTTCTCGGCCACAGGGTGTAGGAACTGGGGAAGACAGACCCAGCAGTCGGGGCAGCTCATGTCTCAGACTCTGGTTTGAGCATGATGGGACACCTTCTGTCCCCCGGACCTTTGCAGGCCTTTCCATTGTCAGGCAGGCTGGGGTCTCCATAGGAGCCAGAACAGCCTTCCCTTGGTATTCAGTTCGGCCCCTTCCGGGTTCAGTGTGGCCTTCGTGTGTCCTCAGCTGCTACAGGAGCAGTCACAGGCCTTAAGTCTTCCTGGCTGCTTGCATCACCAACCTGCTTGGGTTGGCCACCACTCTAGGTGCCCCAGCAGCCATACTTTGAGGATAGGAAGTTTCCTTTTGTCCAAGTGTTAAGTGCTCAGCCCAGAAATGCAGACAGCTGACACTTCCTGTTGACTGTGGCACCCAGAGGCAGCCCCCCTGTGGGGCTCCCACCCACAGAGGCTGAGAGGAGGCCACCCAGCATCTACCTCACTTACAAAGGCTGCAGCCTACTGGGGGCTCTTCCCTACTGGGAACCTTCCTGAAAACCGGTCCCAGCATCTTGACCATGATTGCCTGTGTGCAGGAAACAATCATTTTGCCATTTCCGGGCTGCTTCATGTTCTCAAATATCACTGGGTGCCAAGTACGGATGACACAAGTGGGAGGGGGCATCCAGGCCCGCTGCGGTCACCCAGGATGACGCAGCTTAGTGAGGGTGTGAGGGGCTGGAGAAGCACTGCCAGAGTCTGACCGGGGCAGATAGCTCTAGCACGCCCCTTGCTCTGCCTGCCCCTCCAGCCAGCATCAATGTGACTGTTGCAGCTAGGCCTAGGAGTAGAAGCAGGCCTGAGGGCAGGGGCCTAAGGAATGAGGCTGAGGCTGACTAAGAGGTGGGCAGAGCAGACTGTGTCCACAGAGGCAACAGGACGCTACCCACTCCCCATTGTGTGTCTTCTCTAGTTTCTAGAAGTAGCTAATGGCCACAGTTGGCTTGGCCTGTCTTGAAGCCTCAGGTCCTGGCCATCCCTGCTAGCACTGGTGAGGTTGGCAAATGAGGGACTCCCAGGATGCATGTGACCACTGCTGCTACCAGCGTTGTCCACCAGCTGACTCCAAGTAGAAAAAGCAGAAAGACCAGATGGGAGAGGCACCCCAGAGTCCTGAGACTGGGTCAGAGCTGCAAGCCCTTAGTCCCCTCATGGAGCTGAGCAGGGCCAGACCCACCATGGGGTATGGGAGGCTGGGCCCAGATACGAGCACTCGCCTCCTTTTCCTTGCAGAGGAGCAGGGACGTGGCTTCTCTCCGGCTGCACGCGGCCCGCCAAGGTGCCCGCTGCCGTCCCCAGCGCCCACGACGTACCACCTACTGAGGCGGCCCCAGCGGCCTCTGACCGGGCTTCCAGCCACGCAGGCCGCCACCGGCCACAGGGCAGGTGGGTGTGAGGCGCCCAGGGTGAGCCCGAGTGCTGAGCATGGGCTGCACAGAGGACGGGGGACACAGATCAGCAGGTGCTGACCACACAGAGAAGTTTACTGACCCTCCAGAGGGGCGAATAAACACAAGGCAGGAAACTTACCTTGGAAGCCCACACACAGTGAACAAGCTCACCCCAGGGGTTCCCCATGGCCTCCAAGTGCCACCCAGGCACCCCTCTCTAGCGTGAGGCTCCCTCCCTCGCTGTCCCCCCTCCCCCTTTCTTTCTGCTTTATGAATGCTGTGGCTACTGAATAGACCCTAGGGGCAGCGGAGACCTGCAGCAGGCAGAACCAGGAGAGCTAGTGATGATCAGAGCCACTTTTTAAGAATCAGCAGTTTGTTATTGAACAAAGGTGGGACTGGGGTGGACAGACCACTGCCCAGAGCCTGACAGCTCCTGGAGACAGGCCCTCTGATGCCCTCCCACACGCAGGTCTGTTTCTGCCTTCTCAGGTAGAAGGAGCTCTTTGTCCCCTAGACAGACAAGGATGACTGGCACTGTAGGAGACTCGGGCTGGAGATGGGGCTAGGATGGTGGGGTCAGGGAGGACCCTGCAGGCAGCACCCACCTGCCAGCCTGTCCCAGCCCTGCCCTCTGATTAAAGTCGTGTTGTCTCCTAAGTGTGGGTTTCTAGGTCCTTGGCCACAGTGGAGGGTGCGGAGAGGAACAGACTGCTCGGCACAGCAGGCTGGGTCCCCGGTCTAGGCGGCTGGTAACTGTGGGGCTTCCTTGGCTTCACCACAGATCCACTTTGGAATGACACGGTTCCCACCCCGCCACCTCTCCCCGAAAAACACTGACCCGCTGACCAGGCAGCCAGAGCTGAGCCGATGGCCCCGCCTCAGCTGGTCCTGTTTGTGAAATAAATATGAGCGTTGCCAGTCTCTGGACCTCTTCCCTGCTCCCTGCCCGCCCGGCCAGGCCGTTCACACGCTGGTTTCCGGGGTATGAACCACCTCCCCGTTTTTCTCAGGCTCTGCCTTCAGGAAGTGCTCCACCTCTCTGGAGTCCACCCTCACGTCCACAGGGGGCTTGTGGAGCTTCTCCTCCTCTGAGGCCACCCCCTCAGGCTGTGTCGTCTGGGGCCTCTTCCCGATGCAGAAGAAGTTGCCCAGCAGCAGCACAAGGGAGGAAGTGAGCACCTCGGCCCCCGCCAGGATGAACACATACTTGTAAACTTTCGTAGCATCCAGCAGCTTGCCTACGAAGAAGACCCAGGTCACTAGAAGACCCCTGGAGAACCCTCCTCCACCCGGGGCGAGGGCTCCGTTTCTGGCTTTGAGGAAGTGCCTCACACTTGCAGTCACCCTGTCTGCCTTGAACTCCAGCCCTAGTAACAACCACCCAGCCCTGCCCAGCCCTGCCCAGCCTCCTTCCTCTTCCTCTTCCCCATGGAAGGAAAGGCTGAATCAAAAAAAAAAAAAAGATAAAGTGGCCCTGAGGTTTTGCAGTTATGGGGTGTACACCCCCTTCCCGGTCACAGACACCCCCCCTGTGACCCCTAGAAAGAAACATGGCTTAGCAAGACCCTATATACCTAGTAACCGAAGACCCCAAGAGACAGAAGGGGCCAAAAGCTCCAAGGAGATCAGATAGGGCTGTGTAGTAAGAGACCCAAGCCCAGCATGGCTAGGCCTCTGTCTCCAGCCAAAACCATTCTAAATTTCAACACAGTGGGTTGGTTTTGTTTTGTTTGGGGGGGGGGGGGCCTTCAAAAAGTGAAAGGACCAATGTAACAAACACTGCCCTATTCCCTTGAGAGCTGCCCCTGTGGTGTGCAGGCTTCTGAAGAAGCTGCCAGGCCCTGTGGGGGGGGGGGGGGGCAGAGCTGCCAGCTTTATGCCTAGCACTCAACTGCTGCTATCTGCTGGCTCCAGAGCCTGCCATCGCCGGTCTCCTGAAGCAGGGTGTCACAGGAAGGGGGTGGGCTGGCCTGGCCGCCCTGAGGTGTCCCGGTCTCCCCGCCAGCAGCACTCACCTCCCGAAGGGGGTCCGATGAGCACAGCCACAGCCTCCAGCAGCAGCACAAGCCCGATGGCACTGGAGAACTTCTGAGTGCCCACGATGGCCATGAGCACCTCAAACTGTAGTGCTCCCACCATGCCATATGAGATGCCAAAGAAGATGCAAAAGACCACCAGGCCACCGTAGTCACTGGCTGTGGAGCCTGTCAGGTCAGTGAAGCCATTGAAGAACATGGCAAAGCTGAAGAGGTAGACAGAGTAGGGCCGCACCTTCTTGAGCCCCGTGATGAAGCCAGCTGTAGGCCTGGCAAAGATATCAATGAAGCCCAGGATGGTGAGGAGGAAGGCAGCCTTTGTGTCAGGCACACCCAGATCCTTAGCATAGCTCACCACAAACACGGGCGGCACAAAGAGCCCCAGCACCATGATGGAGGCCGCCACCGCGTAGATGAGGAAGCCACGGTCCCGGAAGACGCTCAGGTCCAGCAGGTGCCGTGACGGCTGCTGGGGCTTCGGGGGCCCAGCCCCTCCGCTCGCCTGGGGCGCCACTAGCGGCCTCATGAGGGCAGCGCACACACAGCAATTGAGCAGCAGGCCACCCAGGATGAGGAAGCCGCCCCGCCAGCCGTAGTGGTCCTGCAGCAGCTGCCCCAGTGGAGACAGTGTGCAGAGGAACACGGGGCTGCCTGCCGCTGCCAGCCCGTTGGCCATAGGCCGCCGCTTGCTGAAGTATCGGTTGAGCATGATGAGGGAGGGCTGGAAGTTGAGAGCCAGACCCAAACCTGTGAGAGAGGACAGTGTGAGACCCCAAGCCCAGGCCTGCAGGGCGGGCAGTGTGAGACCCTGAGATCCAAGCCTGCAGAGGGGGTACCCCAGACCCACACACACACCCCGGGGACAGGGCTAGACCCCAAGACTTGCAGGGAAGGCAGGGTGAGACCTCGTGGCTCAGATTTCCAAACAAGGCAGCTTAGAGCCCTGGGTCTTCCCAGCCCATCGCCCACGCCCCGGCCTCCCTGGACACAGGCTCCATTGCAGAGGCTCTCCAAGCACAGAGCCCCCACAAGACTGCACTCCCTGCTCTGCTGGGCTCATCCTTCCTGACACCCCAAGGCCCGCAGGTCCCCGGACTCACCGGTGATAACCCCTGTGGTGAGGTAGATCGCAATAATGCTCGTGCAGAACGAGGCAGCCACCATCCCCAGGGACGCAAAGAGGCCGCCCACAAGCATGACGGGCCGGCAGCCGAAGCGGTTCACACACACGCTGCAGAGTGGTCCTGTGTGGAGAAGGTGGCTGAGGCAGGGCCAGGCTGCCAGCGCGCCTCTGCCCTCCCCCTGCCCAGCAGAGCCAGGCCCTCGGCTTATCGGGTGAGCCGGGCCCTGGGGCCGGGATCAGTACAAGGCAAGCCCAGCTTCTCACATCATCTAAGCAGATCAGCAGGCATGAGCCACCTTTGAAGGCGCCACTCCTGGAGCCTGAGCCCTGAAAGTGTCAGCACAGCCTACCCACTGAGACAGGGACCAAGACACCTTGCCCTTCAGAGAACCATTCTGGCAAGGTCACCCACTGGAGGACTTGCCTTCCCCCCCCCCCCCCCCCCCCCCCCCCCCCCCCCCCCCCCC